CCCCAAAACCCCAAAACCCCAAAACCCCAATATACAGAACTCTAGTTGAATATCTTCAGATATTACTGATCCTTGGCTATCTCACTACCTTGGCTGAAGGACCGCTTAAATTTGGATCTTAAACCAATAGGTTTGAGCTTCACCATGACAGGAGATTTTGGATCAGCACTCTAAGAGGTTAAGCAAAAGAGTTACGCTAAAGGTTTGTTGAGACGCGAAGTCTTCTTTCATTGAAAAATCATCCTCAATACTGCTCTCACTGCTGTATTCCCAGTCATCTTTGATGTAATATTTCTCTAAAAGATTGTGAAGCAGCTTACTGTAGATCTCATTAATGTTTGGCTCAAAAAGTTTGTACTTCTTGGAAATAAATTTCATGCCATAGTAATCCACCATGGTGTCTGAATATGCTTCCTTTGCGAATTCAAGGGCTTTCTGCACATAAGACTTGTCAGGGCACAGATCAGTGAAAATATCGCTCAATAAGCTCAGATTAGTCCATTGAAGGTAAGGATTAACTGGCTCGTCAGGGTTCTTCTTGTAAATCAGAAACCCTCCTTTTGAGATTTGATTGTTTTTGTACACCCTTGTCAGCTCAAAATTGAAGAAGTTCTCTAGATCGATGATGTAGTTCAGGATAATCTTGAATACATGATCAATGGAGATCTTTAGTTCAACATTGTCATGGAAAGCATTCAGGATCCCACCCATCATCACTGAGCCAGTGCTATTTTTATCAAAGAACATTTTGAAGAAAGTTGAGAAGCTTCTACCGTATTTCTCAACAATGCCAACATCAGCCATGATTTCGTTATTTAATAAAGTCATGGAGCTGTTCCTGGGTGATTTGGTCTTCACGAGAGAAGAACATCTTGAATGCATTTCCAACTGAAGTATTCCCATTGACAATTATGATCTAGACGGTGAGGGAGGCAACCTACCTCTTTTATCTCCCTAAGCAAGGCATAGTAGCTGAACTTCGAGCTCGGAATGTATGTCAAGCGCCCATTCAGGAAGATCTTGCAGTTTTTATCTAACTCTTGGTTTAGCTTACTGATGAACTTCTTCGGTCAGATTTGGAAAATTCTAGAGACAGCTAATCTATTTGAGATATTCAGTGTCTACAAAGCATTTCTTGAGATCAGCTGTGAATAAGAGACTAGGCATGAGAGTTCTATTGGGCTTTGATAGCATTTCCTTTTTGAGGGACCCATCAATTTGCTATTGAGGTCATCTCCAAGGCTTACCTTCTCAGACTTTAGTATCTCTGTTGGCTGGATAAGATACTTGATGAGCACATAAAATCCTTGTACTATCTCATGAGATAGCACATTATTGTTACAGATCAGGAACCTCTTTAAGATACTCACCCTGATGTCTAGGGACGAGTAATTGTTGAGACCAATGAGAAATTGTTCGTAATACCTCAAAGCTATTTTATTTATTCTTATGTTTTGCAATGAGTTCGTCATACACTAGAAGTAAAACATAAATCATACAAATAAACATCAGCTCTGTATCTTTAGCTTCATTCTGGATATTTCTTTTATAGATGTTCCCTGCTATTTCAAGTACCTGCTTGACAGTTAGGATGCATTTCACCTTCTTCGCACTCTTTGAGTACTTCTTTATCAGCCTCACGACCTCTTTATGTGCTTCAGGGCCGCTATTATAAACATTTTTGCCTAAAAATGACTTGTTTTAATTTACTGTTAAACCTTTTCATGAAGTGATCCTCATTATTCTCCACATCAATATCTGTTTTCTTAGCCTTATGCCTCTCTTCTGCGATAAGGGTTCCAAGTGGCTTTTCTGCCTCTTCTGTCTGGATGTGAATACTTTTTGCAAGATGCGAGTCTAGTGTTGTCAAGCACTGCTGGGCCTATTATGAGTCAGATTGGCATACTTTGTATCAAAAACACGTAAAATTAGAGATATAGAAGGACTACTCCATAATGAAAGGGAAAAATGTAGGGTAGATATTTTGGACCTTCATAAGGATGAATAGAAACACCAACACTTTGGCATAAAAACATGAAGTTGAGCCCCTACCAGCCTCTCTGAGAGCTCATTAACAGTCTCTTGCAACTTGTGTATCTCCTTTTTGCACTTGCTTAACTGTGTCTCTAGAAAGTTGTCAGGAACTATACCGTAGAAATAGGGTAATTTGTATTGAATCTCATGTCGTAATTTCTTAATCTCATCTACATGAACACATTTGGGTTCGGCTACATTGAGTGAGAAAACTTTTCAGAGGCTCCAAAGATTCGAAAAGTTAAGGAATGAGGATGCACAGTCAAATAGAGTAAAAATTTAGCAAATTTATAAGGAGATGGGAGGTCTGAAGGAACCTCTTTTGGAAAATTAAGAATAAGTGTGTGTGAAGTTTGCTTACAACTGCAGCTGTTTGACTCAAGTTGTTTGTTATATAGCTTTTTGGAATATTCAAGAGCCTTATTGAGCTTCTTGGTGTAATCGATATTTTTGGCCATTTTCTCGGTAAGGAAATTGTACTTGGCGATCTGGCCTTCCAAGAGTGAACGTAGATCATTATTTTCTTTTGATAGTTCATCTATTTGCTAACAGATTAGTTATATAATTCTGCTCAGGCCTCCAGATATGAGTCCAGAGGATTTATCATATAAGAACTATCTAATATCTGCCTTACTATATTATTTGTAACGGAGGAGGTCAGTTTGCTCTTCAATGATCTCTTGGTAATAAGTTTCCCATAAATTGGTCAAGACTTCTTCCAAATCTGGATCAACTTCCTTCAAATGAGCTTTAAACTCAATGAGGAGAGAGTTGATGGCATTCTTACGTTCAAGGTCTAAATTGAATCCAACTTGGGCTACCTTTATGATCAAAAATCATGTTCTTGACATTAGTTGGCATCTTGGTGACATAGCGTAGGGGGATATCTGTATTGCTCTGCTTCTCTACATTCTCATCAGGGTCTGATTCGTGACTAATATCTATAAATGAGCCTAAACAGGGAATACAAGAAGGGTTGTGTGAGGTATCATTCATGTACTTCTTGATACTTTGCTCATTATCAATGACATCTTTGAAATGATGAAGTGTTTCATCATTCTCGAGCCGTACAGCTGATGACTGATCGTTCATCGTCTTTATTTTGTCCTTATCTTGTAGAAACGAAGACTTTTTCTTAACAAACCCGAGGGCAACTGAATTCTTCATATCCTTGGGGGAATAATTACTGTGCATATCTTTAGCAGTGGAGCTCTCACACTGGAGGTTTACCCCAAATATGTCCATGTCAATGTCACTTCTCTCCTTGTGGTCGACTGTAGCGTCTATTGATTCGGATCGTCCCCTTCCTGAGTGCTTAATGTATTGTCTCTCTGTAAGAAAATAAGAAACTGGTTAATTCTTACCAAGAGATAACTTCAACACTTTTTGTTTCAGCAAAAGAATTTTGGTGATCTTCTTAGGTAACGGAGGAATCAAAGACTCACTCTTTGAAGGACTCATCTCTTTGGACGTCAGTGGAGCTAGCCCCTTAGTCGATCTTTTTAGTATTTTCTTGGCTATTCAAGATTAGGCTTAATGGTACTTTACATGCTAATTTAAGTAATTGCTTATTTTGAGGTTTATCTGAATCCAAAAGACCATTGACCATTTCTAAAATTAGACTATTAGATACTGTAAAGGAGTTCTCCGTCTGCAGTACTGTAAAACCGTTTACCTCTGGAGTCGAGGTATTTTATTCTATATTTAGCCTTCATTTAATACCTTAATGCTTTGCGTTGAGTTCCTTTTTCTCTGGTCCTGAAAGGACTTGAGCCTTCTCTCTAAATATATGCTTTGTCATAGGTTATAGGCTGAGGTTTTAAGAAGAGAGGTGTACCTTGACAAGGGTGAGCTGATTCATATCCTTCCTGCCCTGACTGAACCTCTTGAGCATAGAGTTGACTCGCTGTCTACTATTCTGTTTCTTTTTCGGGTCTCTTTGTCTCAAATCAATGAGGTATTTTCCCAAGTTCTTCTTTCTATTCATAAAGATAAACTTTTTTAAAATGCTCAAAATTACCCATTTAGTCAGATCTTTGTTGTTGAAGTGCTCCTTTTATGCGATATCATTCCTATAACTCTCTAAAAACACTTGACCCAAAAGCTCCTTAAAATCCCTAAAACCCTTCTAAAGCCTCCCTGCTCTTCATTTTGTTCCCTTTCTCCTCTCAAAATTGCCTTAAAACCACTCAAACGCTTATCTCAGCCAACATACTTGAAATTTTAATTAAATTATATACCAACAGGGGTTTTGGGGTTTTGGGGTTTTGGGGTTTTGGGGTTTTGGGGTTTTGGGGTTTTGGGG